CGTACCCGACGTACCCCTACCTAACCCCCCCCCCCCTCCCCAAAAAAAAAATTTAAATATATTGTTAAGTTTTAATTTTATTATTTATCGGTTTAAAGGCTCAAATTTTTACAAGTTTCAAAATTATGAGTTCGGAGGTTTATGTGTTTGGAAGTTTACGAGTTTAGAAATTATAAAGTTTACGGGTTCGAAATTCCGCGATTTTGAAAGTTTAGCGGTTCGAAAGTTTATGAAATTTGTGGGTCCGTAAGGTTGTTGGTTTGAAAGTTTATGGTTTTATGTTTATTATATCTAAACTATTTTTGAATACTCTTGAGAGGTCATTTTCCTTAATTTGCGTACCAAACACCGGAAAATGAATAAGATTACTACTTGTTTTCCAAGAAAACATTTTCCACGGAAAACATTTCCGTTATACCAAACATACCCTAATATTAGCAAAAAATTTGGCTAATAAATAGTATTTCCCTATTAAAATTATACAGAAACTCCTAATATTTAGAAATTTAAATAACACGAGCCACATAAATCGTAGCTTTCGTCAATCAAATTCATTAATTAGCATATCTGCGTTAACAAAGAAGAAAAATTAAGCATAGTACTCTGCACAGGTTAGAAAATAATTAGATAGTCGTTTGAATTTCAGTTGGCTAGGATTATTATTTGTGCAGATAAGATCTTTTGTAAGAACTTCCAGAATAATAAAATATATATGGATATACACAATATTGGCGTGCACCTAATGATTATTAATCGTAGATTATTAATGATTATTTTTTCCTATTTTTTGCATTTATTTTAACTAATAATAACTCAGTATGTTTGTTGTTAAATATTAATTTTGAAATTACTCATTTTTAGACTTTCTATGAACTTATCAATTTTTTCTGTACCACCTCTTCATTCAGATATCCCTAAAAGTACAAAAGAATCAATTTCTTAACTTATTTTATTTGAAAAATTGCGATAATATTTTTGTGTAATTTGTCTATATTTGTTTTACTTTACATTGTGTAAATTATTATTTCTCATTTTCTATCGCGTGGAAAGCAAGAGGAGGAAAGAAAACGCATGTACGAACCAAAGGTGATTCCCGATGAGGACGGGTTAAGCAGGACTGACAGGTTTTTAAGTTGGCAAACTTCTAGAGAAGGATTATACATGACACCTTAGGCGAATCCCACATCAGAATAGGAGAGAAAAGTGAAGAGCACAAGTTCATACGATATGTGCGCTTTTAGGCTCGATGATGGCATAGTCCAAGAGATAAATTTGTAAGGTCTGTTGGGTCAAAGCGGACAATATGTATCATGGGCTTGGGCCGAGATAATTCTAATCATAACAAAGTAGTCAAAGTAGAATTAATTAGCAAAGGTTGATAGCTTATTTATTTTAAATAAATACCCAAGCTTTATGCTTTTTTAACTTTTAAGTTGTAACGGCACAAATTTGCAAACCCAACGAAAGCTGTATTTGGGAATTCTATGATTTTCAAGAGATTGGCAAAGTTCAAAATTTGAGTTTTCGGTGAGAAGTATATATATCCTGGTCAAAATAGATATAACCCTGTTAATAGAGCACCTTGCCAGACTCTATATTTAAGCAATGATCACTAATGAATTAGGGTGTGAACATGAAGAACCTACTTGGCCTGCAATGGAAACAACGGTTTTTGATCATTAAATTAGTTTTAAGAGCCTAAATGGTTCAGCTCCACAGTTTGCATTCTCACTCTAATTATCATCACTAGCTAGGGGGACTCAAATGATGCAGGAGGTGGATGTTAAGTTGAAATTTCAACTCATGTCACAATTCACAAATTTATAGGAGTATGACATGGTAGCTCAAGTCCAACTTGTAGTGAACTTAATGGGTATAGTTGCATGGGACTCTTGGTTTCAAGTTACTCAAATAACTTGTTTGCAGGGAGCTTCAATTCGACAGTACATTTTCAAACTATAAGATGCACCACCATATATAATATCCCTAATGTTTTAGCAAACCTTGAGCAGGCGACAACCTGAGAGCCCTTTGACTCCTTCAAGACAGATTCTTGCTCCAGTGGTCCACTTTTATGCTGGAGAGTGGGAGGAATGATATATCCGAGGTACCAACAGGGATGAGTCAGAGGAGGATTTCATGGATGGCTCTAGTAGTCAAGAAGGTAGCATATTGGCGCAGGAGATCGAAGAAGCTCTCTGGAAGCAGAGCCTAATGGCGAAGAGTAATGTATACCTTCCATGTAGCTTCTTGAGGGATATATATGATGTAAATTTAATGACTCAGTGCCCTCCCTCAAGAAGCTACATGGGCTGGGCTGCCTGATAAGGAAGGTATACATTACTCTTCAACCATGCTGATGAGTTTCCCTTTTTAGCTCCTATGTCTGATTTTATATTGGAGTATCTGACTATATGCTACTGCAATTTTCTATTCTGTCTTAACAATTTCAAAACCACCAGTGTCTGAGGCCTCCCTATGGAGTAGTATACCTGGCTGCTAAAAGGAATTATGTGAGCTTTAACAGTGCAGCACGACATCTGACAAGTGTGGTAGACGAGGAAGGTGTTTTTAGAGCTAACAGACAGAGAGATCTCGAAATTCGCCCAAATTTTATTCATCTAGCATTGTTCTTATTTTTATGCTTCTATATTTATTTATCTTACATGCGTTATGTGATGATAGATTGACATTCAAGTATTAAGATGAAAGCATACGTTACGTGGCTTTGAGTCCTGTTGGTCTACTTATGTAGTTATTTTTGCTTGTGGACCTTTTCTTCCTTATCTTGAAGGTGTAAATTAAATGTACATTATCTTGATTTATACATGATGTCATTATGTGTAAATAGCACGGTATAGCCAGTTTTCGGACTGGTCATTCAAAAATAGCCAGCGTTTATCAAGTCAATGAAAAATAGCCACTATTTTGCTGCAACAGAGACTGGTCCAGCATAATATACTGGAGTTCGGTGCACCTGTGTATGAACTCCAGCATATTATGCTGGACCGGTATACTTTGATGGCTCCAGTATAATATACTGGAGACTGGAGCACCGGTGCTCCAAACTCCAGTATATTATGCTGGAGTGATATACTTGCTGGAACTCCAGTATATTATGCTGGAATTCTAGTGTACTTATGCTGGAACTCCATCATATTATGCTGGAGTTCCAGCATACTTATCCTGGAACTCCAGTATACTTATGTTGGAACTCCAGCATAATATACTGGCGTATTTTCCGGGTTTTGAACAGTATTTTCGCTCAGATTTATCTTTACATGAAAAGTGGCTAAATCTCGATTACTTTTGAAACTGGACTATTTTTGAACGACCAGTTATAAATCTGGCTATTTTTAAATTTCTCCCTGTAATGATTCTCCACTTGGGCTAGATTGAAATGTCACATTAATCATTAATTCCTTTGATGGCTTTGAAAGAACTCGTGCATTTTTTTTGTTTCATAGTCAAATATGTATGAGTTTTCTTGCTGTTGAGATAAATAAGTCGATGCCTAGCTCCTACGGTGTGACGGATAGTGTGTACGGGACCTGGAACGCGAGGGGTACAATGTTTAAGGCCTCTCCTGCAATAACTCTAGCCAATATTATGTTGCAAGCTTCTTACCGCCACCTTATAATTTGTGGCGTGCTTGCAAGTTGCAATTTCCTCATAACTCCTTGATGTGATTCTTTGAGTTAACAAAGAACCAACCGATCAGCATCTGAAAGAAAAACGTGATTTCTGGGCCGTTTTCAAGAAACAACGTATCTCAAGCTTTAGGACTCGGAATATGATGATTCAAAAACGAGATGAAAGATGACGATCTGAACTATAAGATAAACTATTTACTCGTTCAAAACAAGTAAATATTGATGATGTACCAGTTCAAGGAAAATTGTGATCCTATAATAACCAAAAAGAAAAAAAATGAATTTAGATCAAGAAACGTGTTCTTGAATGATCAAGAACTATAAGATTCCTAAAGTCACCACTTGAAATCAATTGACGTGATAAAAAAAACACCACACGCAATTGAAAACAAGATAAAAGACTATCACCACCTTGCTTGGAATCTAAAACAAGGATAAAGAAGATAAAATAGAGAAAAACACTCTTGCAAATTAGGGTAAAGCTCAAAAACGTGATTTACATTCTACAAGGCAAGAGAACCCTTTATATAGGCCCAGAGTCTCTTCTTTGATGGCTACAATTCTTATTCTAATAAGGAAATAAAATAACTAAAGACAAAGAAAGTAAAATCCCTATTCTACAAGGAAAAGAAACTAGAATCCTATTAAAAGGAAAATCTTTATTCTAAAAGGAATAAACTAAATCCTATTTTATTTAGGAAAGGGTCATGGCTTCTTGATATCAATCTTGAGCTTCTTGGGCGTCTTGCGCTTTTTAAGTCCATATATTTGGACTTGAGCAAGTCCATATGTTTGGACTTGAGCTCTAAAACATGATCTTGGCCAAAATTAATAAAATTTAACATAAATTGTTCTTTTGCGTCACCCCTCAAGCAGGTGAGTCCAGAGCAACCAAACTTTTCTAATACCAGTAAAGTCTCTGCTGACTCTTCGTTTTACTTTTGAGCAAAATGTCTTTTAGGATTACCAAACTCGGAAGCATAAAGATAAAATTTAACTTGTGATAATAAACTAGAGCCTTCGTTATGAGAAATCCAATTTGGTTCCGTGTTGCTTAAGAATTGAGATCCGAATCCTTTCTGAAGATAATCACAGTTTTCTCATCTAAAAACATTTCCCCATTCCATGACGTCTGATACGGAGTACAGTTATAGGCTTCTTTGCTGATGATATTTCCATTGTGCAGTCTTTTTATCCTCCTTTTGGAGCAACCTTATGTCAAATTCTGTTAGCTAGCAATGGTTCGAGATCGACACACTAGCCAGCAAAACAAAATCAACCATACTTGTGACTAGGTTGATGTCCAGGGCATTAGATGTAACTTGCGAAAACTTACCATCCTTGTAATCCTTTTGCCTATTCAAAAACCAGTCAGGGATTTTGAATTGACGAGGATTTGCCACAACAACCATCAAGCTATCGAGTTCAGCAGCAGAAAGTTCACCCGCCCTAGAGAAAAGAGTAGTAGCATAAATTTAGACAACTTTGCAAGAACTAAAATACCAAAACGGGAAAATTCAGTTCAGCACAAAAGTTTAGAACAGTCTGTGAGGAAATGTTGCGTTGTAAAAAGGCCCCTTTGACAACTACTAATTTAACTTATTGGTAAACGATCAGCTACCTTCCTCATTCATCAATCTCAATCTCTGAGCCATAGGCTAACTCTTTTCTTTTTTAAATGAAGGTGGTGTCCAGACCAGCTCACGCCAACTAAAGATAGCAGGTACCTTTGCAAATCATATGCCAACTTCCTCGCCCAACTATTAGTTATTTCTCAAAAAAAAAAAAATAACAGCAAGGCGTAGAATACAAACCAATTATAGTTGCGGAAAGAATAGTTAGGCATCCATTTTCAATTTTAATTTCGCGATGGAGCATTGTCTAAAATGAAAATATAAATTCAAAACTCGAGGTAAAATGGGGGATCTGAATCCAAAATTGAAGACAAAAATAACAGTACATAATACTCCAATAACACATAAGCATACCGAAAAGGTTTAACAGGCTTAGTTGCAACAAAAAACAATGATGAAATCAAAATTAGAGCTTCATTACGTATTAGTAGGAAGAGAAAAAGAGAAGGGAGTACCTCTTGCTCATATCGATATCGGCTTTCTTACAGGCAATGTTAGCGAAACGACGGCCAATACCTTTGATAGAAGTCATTGCGAACATTATCTTCTGTTTCCCGTCGACGTTCGTGTTTTGCACACGAAGTATGTGCTGAAACTCTTCATTTGCAACCAGCGACTGCACCCCAAAACCATAATCACTAACAATTCGAAAGAGCAATTTACATATGCGTATATAAATATATAAATCTCACCATCCCTACGGTTTCGAATCCTGCTCTGCAGTGCGCCTGTTTCGTTCACTCCTGAAGAGATGCACAACTCCCAAAACCCTAACGGTGATGGAATAGTATTAGCTTATGTATATATGCGGAAAAGGACAATATAGTAATTGACCATCTAGTGAAGCTATTTTGTAATTTGCACTTGTAGTGCAGAGATTTTTTGGTATAGTGACAGTTGTCTCTCTTAAGTTTAGAGGATTTTAAGAAAATATTGTGTGCATAAGAAAAAGTTAAGTTACACCATAAAGATCTCAATAAGTGAAAATTAGTTTTCCAACGATAATAGTAAACAACAACAACATAGTCGATGTAATTTCACAAGTAGGGTCTGGAGAGCATAGAGTATACGCAGATCTTACCCGTATCTTAAAAAAAAGAAAAGAGGCTGTTTTCGGAAGACCTTCGGCTCAGAATAAAAAATGTTAAACCATAAAAAACTCAAAATCAGAATAATAATAATAATAATTAATGAACAAATACATTAAAAAGTAATTGCATAGCACATTGAATAATTTTTGCTTCACCTTCAAATTTTAGAAAAGACAATTGTGCAAAATAAAATACCCTAGTAATCTTTAACACTGTTAATTGACTTCTATTACCCATCTTTTCTCTAAGATGTTTACTCTATCATCATGTCATTTATATTGAGCTCAAAAAAGTATATTTTTACAAATTCTTTCTTGGAAGACGTATGATTTTTAAGAGTTAAGTATGTTTCCATCCTTCTCTCCCTAAAGCCTATTGTTTCACGTTCAGTATTTCTTCTCATGTGATACTTATATATTATGGTGTTTTTCAAATTTACGTTGCTTCTCGACGTATAATCCCTTCACTTTTTTTTTCATATTGAATATCCCACTAGGGACTTCTTAACATATGTTCATCGAAAAATATCTACATTTCATTATGTTATTTTTCTCATTTTCTGATTCATTCTAGTTTCCTTACAGGAAATAACCCCATTGTAGATAAGATCAAAAAAGAAAGAGGTTGTATTTTACTTGATTGGGAACCAATCTCATTTAACAATCAGATAATCTCTCCCTAAAGAACTAGAGCATGGATTAAGCATCATCCACTAGCAAAGATGTGATTGACAATACAAATAGCAGAATAGACTAGTCTCTTGCAAGAGAAATAAATTATGTAGATAAACAAATGCAAGTCCTTCACCCTACATTATTTTACATCCCCTTATACACGAGACAGTTGCTTTAGTGCACAAAAAAACAAACATTACTTCCAAGATCTGAAGGTCCATATTTTGTATTAGTCACATTACGTAGAAGTGAAAGCACCATATAATTGAAGGTGAGAATCTCACCAGGCATCACATACAATTTAGAGCATTCAAACATAAAGTTCAAATAAAACCAAAATTTGCATGCAAAGTTCTTGGCGTTGAGATGTAGCCTCAACTGTTTGGAACCACCTTATTTTCATACCACCAATAGATACCCATCCTTCATTATCCCATTTTCCCCATGTTTCGAAGAATAAAGGCAGTGAAAATATGCAAAAACAGAACGATCTGCCATTATGCGCTTCCTTCTGCATTCTTCCTTGCTTCTTCCCGCATAACAGCTCCCACATATATTTCATAACAACATCCTGTAAATATAGATTAGGAAGATCAGAATGACGGTTTCAGAAGTATTAAACAGTCAGCAGATTAATGGTTTACAAAAAGATTCATAACAATTGTAAATTGCACACAAAATGAGGCAGCAGGATATTTAGGATCACAAGACCTCCCTCACATCCAGGAGTTATCTTGCCCCAAAGATGCTATTCAATAGAAAAGACAGGTAGAACTGCTTTTCCAGGATACAGAGTTAGCGTAAATAGCAGCACAATAAGCAGCAAAAAGATGCTGTAAGGGACATAACTGATAGCATCTAAATTACAGGAGTTGGATGTAAACCAACAGAGCAGAAGCTTCTTAAAATCTTTAAATAGCATCGAACATGAATGAGAAGCCAATGACTATGAAGGTTGGAAATTGATTGTTTCAAATTATATTAGGAGCAGCATAGAGATCATGTAGCCTATTAAGCAGCAAAAGGAGGATAATAGCATATATTGCACAGAATATATAGCCTCGGAACAAGATCTCAACGCAATTCAACATAATAGAAAGCTTTAAAAAAAAGTTCTTTTTTGTTTCGGGGTGAATAGGTAATTAAAGAAGGTTTTAAAATATTTTCAATGGCTTTGAAGAAAATGACTGAGAAGCCAATGACATGAATATTGGAATCTGATTACTTTGCAACTAAAAACTAATGCAGAGTAGTAACACCGACAGTGACAGGCTGTTGTTACACTCTGATCAAAATTGTTTTGAGACTCTGACACCTATTAAAAGCCACAAGTTAATAATAAGCAAGAACCATGGTTACTTTTTAAAAAGATAAGCAAGAAACATGGTGTTTGTCAAATGAGTCTTATGATTATTATTTTTAAGAAGGTAAGATTTTTCATTGGTAAGCAAGAAGCACTAAGAAGGTGCTACAAGGCTCTTACAATTGTTCTTATTTCAATTTCTATAAGTTGGAGAAAAAGAGGGGCATAAAGCCTAAAGAAACCTGTGACGACCCAAAGGGTCATCACTTGTTTCCTTACCCTTTCTGTGCTTCCGAGGCCTTGAAAACCTCATTTAGAGTTGCCTCGATTTGCGTGCGTAGTCCGGGCGTGTAGCCGGAAAGCTTAAATATGAATTCTGTGAGAAAAATGCTAAATTTTGATACTAATATGAATAAATTTGACTTCGGTCAACATTTTGGGTAAACGGACCCGGACCCGTGATTTGGCGGTCCCGGTGGGTCCGTAGAAAAATATGGGACTCGGGCGTATGCCCGGAATCGAATTCCGAAGTCCAAAGCCCGAGAAATGAATTTTTGTGTGAAATTGTTTTCTGAAAAACATCTAATCGAATTCCGAGGTCCGAAACGAAGACAACGGAGTTTGGGACCGAAATCCAGAATTTCCAGCCTGCTTTAGCGTGTTTTTCGTGTGTGTGTGGTCATTTATACAAGTAAGAGGTGAGGGAGTGTGTCTTAGAATAAGAGTGAAAATGGAGAAGAAGAAGAAGAGGGGAAAGCTGCTACAGGGCTCGGGAAAAATCTAATATGTTCTCCCCCTTCTGATGTCTTAAAGGGCTAAAATGTCGCACGACCAAATAAAATCAAAGTGACCAACGGGAATAACGTGTATAATTACAAAATTGCCCTCGACAGGAAGCAAGCATGTTGATGATGCAGCCACCTCAACTGTTGCTTCTAATATTAGAGAAAATTTCAATACTACCATTACTAGCTGCCTTTGGATGGACTGCAAAGTAGGTTTGGATACCTGATAGACCTGTACCAATAACTTCCAAGCCAATGACAAAAATTGCTGCAAAAATAGTCCATGGGGTATTAAAATGAGTGTTCTTCCACTCAGCAATCCATATTTTTCTCTCAATTTTGACTTTCACACCAACAAAGGCATGTGGATTAGGCACCAAATCTTTTGCTATTTCATTGAAGAGATCTGCTACTTCTTGATCACTTCCAAGAAAGTTAAGTAGACCTTTTGATCTCAGCTCTTTCACATCTTCAGCATGATCAATTAGTGAATCCATGAAGCAAAGATAAGATGTAATACCAAAGTCATGTGGTGTGTCAGGGCATGCCTCATATGCAACCAAGTTTAATAGCTCCGACTTGGTTGAATCATCTATGGTTATAGGTGCAAGTGTTAAAAGAGCTGAGCAATGAAATGAATTGAACTTAATGTCACGGCTCTTTCCACGCCTGAAACGTATTCCTGCTTTCTTGAGCTCCATGGCTGAATGATATGAGCACCATTCACCCCTTAGATAGCATCCGCCTTCTGAGAAAACATTTGGGTCTATGAGTTGCATTCGTAATATCTCGAGCAGATGAGCAGGATTTTCTTCTTTGTCCTTCACAAATCTTGCCAAAGAAATCAAGAAAGAAATCCTTGATACTTTGAATTAATCCATGACTTTGAGGAGGCTTTGCATTAATCATACTCATTCCTTCATCTTTCTTGAACCTACAGCTCATTAACACATGCAAGACTTCAAAAGGTAGCTGATTTTGTTATTCATATTTTTGTTCGTGTAAATTTACAACTCTGAAGCACATGAATGGTATTGGATCATGACGTAGACCTTTGAACGACTATTAAGAATAATATATAGTAGTAATTAGTACTCCTATATTACATACACGCGCGCTCAAGAGTCAAGACTACAATGATTATTAGACAAATTGACAATGTTGTTCCTAATTAATCCAAAATCATTCTCATTCTTATGAAGAGGTTGTCTAAGTGAAACTTAAGTGACTGATACTTTGGAGGGTGTAACTTACTAGAATTTTCAAGAACAAGGCACACTAAATGCAATACGACTCCTCCGTTTCTTACTGTATAGAACAAAAACAGGATTGCAGATATCAGAATATAAAACTTGATATCAAAGAAAACTTAATAGAAAGTAAAATGCGAAAGATCTAGACTACCAATTATTTTCACTCTAAGCATCAGAAAAGCCTAGAAATTTAGAACTAACATTGAAGAATTTGGCTTTGACCACTACAGAAATGGCTGCTCATCGGGATAAAATCACTAGCCATGCACCTGTTTTGTATGGATTTTCCGGTTTCTATAGAAAATTAAGTCATTAATGTAAGCCCTTCAACTAAGAATACCAGAGAAGCCTAAACTATAAAGGGTTCACTAGGAATACAAGTTAATTGGAGATTCACTATGTGCCACCCACATCACCCTATGGCTACCAATATTTTCTCGTACTTTGGTCAATAAAGTTTTACTATTAAAACTAATTATGAAAAGGAAGAAGCTTTTCCAAATTCATCTTATGGAGTTATATTATATTGACAGTTAGAAGTTTCATGCAATTCTGATTTGCCATTTTGCACATTGTACTGGCAAGAGGTTGATTTTGCAGCACACTTTTCGATATATATGGTAATAGTTGCTGATAAATAGAGCGAGAAACTTGGAGCATACATTCCCAAAATTTGACTACACTGCCAACGACAGCTAAGGTTTTGTAAAGTTTAACAACAAGAAACTTGTGGATCAAGCGTAACTGCTTACATTACTCTCCAATAAAGTTAAATCAGAAGTATCTCTTCTCATAACCGACGAGACCATGAACCCCTCCTTCAACTTGTGCGGCTCCTGTTCGGACCTGGAGAACCAGAAAAGAGAGTTAAAGTTAGATTCCCATGAACTAACAATCAAAAAAAAAATAGATCCCCATGAACTATGAGGTAAGATGATTCTGCCATTTCATTTTGTTTTTTCCAAACACCCGGAAAAAAACCCAAACATGCAACAATAATAATAGTTGAGTAAGAAGATACAACAAAAAACAAGAGACAAACCTCTAGCCTCAATTTGCCTGATTTTAAAAGATGATGAGCAGATTGCAAGGAGGAAGCACCTAGATCCTGGAATCCTTGCTTTACAGCTTGCATTGTATAGGGAATGAACTTCAGAATAGAACCTTTATCAGCAACTGAACCGACAACTCCCTGAGCAATCTTTAGTTTAGCAGTATCACCCAAGTATCTTGCATCACTCCCTTTTGTCATTGCTTCCAGGGATCCCATACCTCGATATTTTTTCACACGCAGACCATTCTATCCTTGCCCAAAAATTGACCAAAGTTAAAAATAGCACAAGGGCATATTGAGGTGGCTACACTTGCAAATATGAATAGAATCACCAATGTTCTTTTAGTCTCACAGTACAAATATTTGCAATCAAGCAGCTTTGAAGATTTAACATAACCAAAACTCTTGTCTCGGAAAGCAGATATACTACGTGCCAAATAATCAAATATACTATATTTATTTAAAATAAGGCTAGTATACCGGTAGTCTAAGAGTTGGCACAAAATGTATGTTTGACACTAAGACTTTGCTGCTGATCAACTAACATTTCATGCCAACCTTGAGGGACCCGCCTAAAAATTAAAAAGTTTTATATAACTATGTTCCAAAGAGCAACTTTCCATGGACCAAGTCAACTTGCACGCGGTATAAACTGAAATCAGATAGGAAAGTTTCCAGGCAATACCATGTAAAAATAAGACTCCAGATACAGCTAAAAAACCGTAGATGTATCTTGGAAGGAACTTTTGCATACATATATAAAAGCATTGAGAATCCAGTTGTACCTTATATTCATATGTGCCAGGAGCTTCATTACTACCAGCCAAGAAGCTTCCCATCATGACAGTTGATGCTCCAAGGGACAATGCCTTCACGATATGGCCAGAATTTGAAATCCCACCATCAGCAATCACAGGGATACCATGCTGCTCAGCAATTGATGACACCTTGTAAACAGCAGTTGCCTAAACAAAATTGATAGAGAACATAAGTTTCATTTACTTTTACCGAGAAAACTATCAAAATGGTCCTTAATGATATCTGGGGTTGCTTTATTTTGGTCCTTAATATATATCACACTTGACAGATATAGTCCTTGATGTAGGTAAAAAGATGACACAGTTGGTAGAGAACCTAAATCTAACTGATTTCTCAAAAGAGGCTTTACGTTCAATGCTTTTCCCTGCTCAGAGATCAGATATTTTCCCCGCACAAGGAAACATTCACCGCTATTCTCTTCAAATTTGCACTCAATGATAAAAACTGTACTCTTCAAATTTGCAAAAAAAAAAAAAAAAACTGCACAGCTATCAGTTCACTGCGCCAGAGTTTTTGACTAAAAAACTGCAGTGCACCATATTTTTTGACTAGAAAATGGCACTTCAAAGATAATTCACCAGATTTTTTACTTACCAAGCTGCACTTCCATCACATAACCAAACATAGCAAACAATGCAACAAATTTTAAATTCGAACGAAGGGAGCACAATTAGCGGAACAAAACACCAGCTGCTTCCAACAATAACAAGTTAATGAAGAGATAGATAATTCACCTGACCGCGACCCACAGCGCAAACTTCTTGAGTGGTACAGATGGACCCAGATCCCATACCAACCCTCAATCCATCAACTCCCTGCTTAATTAAGTTCTCAGCTTGGTAATTAGTGACTACATTTCCACCAATCACATCCAAGTGAGGGTAAGTATGTTTCACATGCTTGATCATATTAATCTGGTACAGCGAATTCCCTTGCGAGCTATCAATCACCACAGCATTAATCCCTTCTTTCACCAAATGCTCCAGCCTCTCTTTATCTGATTCCCTTGTCCCCACCGCTGCCCCCACTAAGAACTTCCCGTCTTCCCCTAAAGATGGCAAACCCAATTTCGGAAGTCCCTTTATTCTCTCCATGTCAGCACTCGTGACTAAATTGACTACTTCCCCGTTTTCCTCCTCCTCGTTTACTAATGCAACAAAGTCCAGCTTTTTAGATGCCATGTAGCCTGCCACGTCATTGAAATCATAACTCGAAGGCAGAGTAACGGGAGAAGTGTTCATATAAGCAGAAATCCTAGCTTCCTTATTGCTCAAGTTCTTCCAATCAGACTTTGACACGTGTCCTAACAGTTTGGATTGTTTGTTCCCTGACTCGGTGACGAAAATGCAAGGGGAGTTAGCGAATTCATCGGCGGAATGGATTGAATCCGAGGGAGAAGCGAAGATTAAGTCGGCGGAGAAAGGGAATTTATGAGATTTGGCAGTACGGATGATGGATGCTTGTTGAGAGATAGTGTTGTTGTAGTGAACGATACCTATTCCGCCGAGCGCCGCCATGGCAACGGCCATGGAGGTCTCGGTGACGGTGTCCATAGGAGAAGCGACGCAGGGGATGGAGAGGGGGATGTTGCGGCTGAGCTTAGTGGAGAGGTTGACGTCGTCGACGGGGAAGTCGATGTAGCCAGGGAGAAAGATGACATCATCGTAAGTGTAGGAGTAGCCTTGGTTGAACAATCTCTCAGCTGGAAATCCGTCGTCGTTCATGGCAGCGGCGGCGCTGGCGGCAAATATTAGGGTTGAGTTTTGTCTAAAAAAAATTTAGCTGGGAAAGGATATCTAGGTCAACACGTCTGCTTGAGCTATTTGCTTAAGAGTTAGGCCCACAAGTGTATTTTTGTAATTATAACAAAATTGAGCAACACTATTGGCTGGAAAAATAGATTACTGTAGCTCCTTCATAATATCTTTGTTGTGTTGACTAATTCACCCTTCTGCTGATAGGCTATCATCAAGACGGACCCACTTTCCCAACCCAACCTACTTAATTTCCTTCTTACTGTCTTCATTAATCATGTCACACATGTCATTTATTTAGGGTAGATTTAAGAACATAAAACAAAAACCTCAGTTTGTATACTCGTTTTTTTAAGGCTAACAACTTAAGTTTAATTAAGGTTGTTCCTTAATTAATTATTTTTAAGGGGAACGCGTACTCACTGCAATTGCAACGCTATTACAGGGTTACAGCGAGCGAACGACGTGTCCAAGATAAGGCTTAATCATTGAGCTATTTTTTGTTATTTTTATTGGAAAAATTGAGAATAAGAAAGAAACATATACAACATAAGTTAAATTATTAAGAATCATAATTTAAGTTATACCATAAGTTAGAGAGCTCTTATTTAATCACTATTAAACTGTGTGAAAAAAATATGAATTGTCCTTCTACTCGATTAAAATCAGTGAGGTACTTTTTTGAATATTAAAATTGTGTTAAATATTTTGATAACAAAGTATGAAATTGAGAAACTCTTCTTACGGCGCCTTGAGGAGACGTAATCATCAATAAGGTAGTACATTAATATTTTCAGCTAATGGGATTTCAGAAGTTCACTATAGCTCAAAAAATCTATAATATCTGTGCTTAAAAACTCAAAAAAGTGGGAAAACATAGATAAACCAGAAAAAATTTGAAAAAAAAAAAGTTAGCAACTTCAGTTGCAAGAATAATAGTATGACAAAATATTTTACATGTGAAGTAAAACATCATACTTACAGTGAGGACAACGAACATTGAATATTAATTGTAATTATTTTCATAGTTGTTTGAATGATTAACTTATCAACATAATGAGATTAAAAAAAAAAAACTTTACCTCTATGAGTTGCAGGATTTTATTATGTAGAAGATAGCTTAAATTTCGGGTATCGCTCGAGCACTTCCATTTTCTGGTATGGAATTGAGAATACCTAATTGGGTAGTGTAGGGTGCCGTTTCACTTTAATATGAAGCTTCATAAAATTAGCTGGATAAATAAATCTAACATAATAATAATTTATAAGTTTGCAAAGACTCTAGGATTCAAATTTCACACAACGTTAATATACAAAAATTAAATTTTCTCTAATAATATTTTACATTTGTGGCACTATAATATTTTTCTCTTCAACACCTCTTCCCACATCTTATCTACATACCCTACTCTCACATAATATACCAACTCCAATTTCTACCTTAAATGATCTTGTTGCTTTTCTTCATGTTGTAAACGCAGAATTGGATGCACCCACTGATTCTAATATCTTTGTTCCACTTTTCCTGGATGAGAAGGAAAGAATCTATAAACCACGGCAGCATGCTGTGATTGTAAAGCTATATGGTCAGGAAAATGGACATCAATTACTGAGGCAAAAAATCTATGCTTTATGGAAACCTACAGAGAATCTACCACTTGTTGATTTAGGATCTTGTATTAGGCAACAGAAGAGTCTAATGACGAGAAAATGCGTGTAAATCTTGATTTACTTGAAGGAAGGAGAGAAGCTGCACTAATAAGAATGGCAGCACAAAAGCAGGTCATAGAACGGTATTACAACCGGAAAGCACACCTCAGATTCTTCAAAATTGGGGACTTCGTGCTTAAAAAGGTTTTTCAATCTACGAAGGCATCTAACGCAGGAAAATTAAATCCAACATGGAAAGGACCCTATAGAATTCATGATATTGCAGGTAAATGAGCATATGAATTGGAAACAATGGATGGCAAAGTATTACCTTCACATTGGACTGTTGTTCATTTGAAGAGATACTAATTCTAACAAATACCCACGGTCAGGTATCTTTGTTTCAAAATTCTATTTTTGAATTGTTAAAATTTTACTAACGATTTTAGATGATAGGCAAAAAACTAGCCTGTACTAAATGATGAGTCACGGCCTGCAAGGCACGTGGAAAACATTAAACTTCCCGGCCTAGGGTTACAAATATTCTGATAGAAATACAAACGGGTTAAGCAGTCTTCATCTATAATCGCACCTCCGAGTCCCGTGTGCTTTTCCTTTTTCAGGGAAAGGACCAAATGAGAGGAATAATCAAGTGCTCAAGGCTTCATACTTCAACACTCGAACACTTGGGGGACTACGTAATATACACGGGCATGTACTGAAAAATCGAAGATTGAGAAAAATCGAAGATTAAGCCTGAAAAGTTCACTCATTGTAAAAGACAAGTGCAGAAGTCACGAGCTAAGGCCAAAGAAAACCTCATTATAGTTAGGGTAAAGGCTATGTACTAAAATGGGTTATAAATAAAAACCACATGTTTATTATTTTTTAAATCTGTTACAAGAAAAACAGTTACGAGAAAGTTATAGATGTAATTCAAATACGTGTAAAGTGTTATTCAAAACTAGACAAGGTTCAAATAAAAATTTGTCAAAGTTATTTCAAAGAAACATGTGTGTTCTTATTTCTTTTATCGTATATTAACACCATTATGAAGTTGAGACGTCTTCTTCATTTAAGTGTCGTAATATAAAAGGGCCCTCTTTTATAAAATTCATGTTTAATTTAGTTATTCATGAAGACAATAGAAGCATTTTCTAAGAATAAAAATGCAGATTATTCTATAAGTCCTTAGAAATAAATGCAAGAATAAATTAAATAGAAGTTCAAGATAATAACGAGAAAACTTCTAAAATATTAAAAAGCTTAAGACTAAGTAAGAACTTAGTCGTAGGAACTGCAAATTATTTATACATACTGTCCCATAAAGGTTTGGGGACTTAAGTTTTCAAAAGCAAACCCTCAAATGAAACCAAGGGTTTTAAACATAACCTTCCAAAAAGGTACCTGAAGAAAAAAAAAGAGAATTCAAACAACTTAAACTTATCACTAGGAATATGAGGGAACTGAAAAAGGTGCATCAACAGCAACAGGATCAACTTGGCTTACAACAGTAGGATCAGTTTTGCTTGCAGCAACAGGCTCGACTGGGCTTGAAAGAGTTGGGGTACCTGTATCAACTTCAACATTCATGGAAGCTTCGGCCACGGGAGAAGGAAAATCTTGAGTTTGCTGAGCTTTCTCAATAGTTTCATTGATCTTAGCCAACTCAGACCCTAAATTGAAATTTTCTTGGCCAGCTTCAATTAGGGTATCACGGCGTGAATTCAAAAACGCCCAACTTACTTCCGTAGCAGACTTATCCTCAAGGATCTCGTAATCCCTTTCCCAGTCAGCAATCTCGCTCTTCAACTTCTCATTTTCAGCTAAGGCAGATGTGTAGAAGGCTTGAAGAGAGGCATAGGAGTTTTCCAAAGCACAAATCTTATCAGAAGAAACTCGAAGGTCTTCTTGTGCTTGTGTCAAATTCTGCACGAGCTCCCCTGCGTAAGCTTCTTTTTCACTTAAGAGAACCTTTAACTCTCTGTTCTCTTCACTAGCCTTGGATAGCTGCTCTGAGAAGGAAGTTTCAAGACGAGCTCTTTCTTTATCTGCTTGACTCAAAGAAGCCTTTACAATCCCCAATTCCGAAATCAAGGCTCGAACCTGCTGCTCCAAGGTACTCTTATTCTCTTCCAAATATTCCATATCAATTTGCAAGCTTTCGTACTGTTCCTTCCAATTGAATGCCTCTAGCTGAGAATCGCGTGCAATCTGCTCTGAGGAGGTAACTCTTTTTATCATCTCTGTGCCGATAAGATTGGCCTTAAAAAAAAGAGAAGAGAAATAAGAATCCCAAAGATAGAAAAACCATGAAGTAAAGAAAAAAGAGAGAGAAGATGAATACTTTCAAAGTGGCATGCACAATATCATTCATCAACGTCAAGGAACTATGGCTCTCCAACTTAGCCTTCTCAATCGGACCAATTAAGGACTTTAGCCACACGTCCGCTGATAATAGGTGAATTTGACTATAATCACACTCTTATGTAGTTTTAATGCTAAAAGTGATAACAAATGCTCTTATTAGTGCTTTTCATGATTTGCAGGTGATATGTGTACAAGGAATGCTAAGGAGCATTTTTGGATTCAAAAATTGGAGAAAAGAGGCCAAATGTGTAAATTCCCAATGAAGTCACGCCCTGCCAGCCCTTAGAATTCAGAGAACTGGTTTGGACGCGGTTCTACCGCGACCGCGGCAGAATCGCAGTGGAAAGCAGTAGCAGAACTTCAGTGATTCCGCGAGGGTAATTGGCCGCGGTTATACCGCGACCGCGGCCAAACCACGGCAGGCGCAGAAAGTTCAGGGGTCAAAGTGTCAAATACGGGATTTTTAGACCTAAACCCTATTTAAAACATTAGACTTCGCCCAAGAGAGGCATGTATTGATTTTTAAGGTTTCTTAGCAAGGAAAACCATTGTGAGAGAATACTCCAACCATCTTTCTTCTTTTCTTTTGATTTTTATGATGAATTCAACCTTAGTTTATTTTCCCATAGCCATGAGTAGCTAAATTCCTTGTCTAAGGTTTTGATGGAAGCTATTGGGTGATGAACTTCTTGTTTATGTGAATACAAATTGCTAGTTTAATCTCTATTTGTTCAACTTCGTGTCTGTTGTAGTTAATTGACAGGATCCTCAATTAGCTGTGCCTATTTAGTGTGCATAACTTGGAAAAGAGTGCATATTTAGGGTATTGTTGAACAACACAACTCCTAGATTATTAGAGGAATCTATAATTGCGGGTTTAAAGGCGGGATTAGGGATAACGAAGCCTTGGGTGTAATCTATAGTGAATCGTGCTAAATAAAGTAAGCTAGTGTAGCTTGGGAGAGTGCAATAGTAAATTACTGTTATTACTCGGGAGAGATTTGCGGTAAGATTAGCGTTCATGATTGATAGACATGTGTGGGTAAATTTGTATGAGCATAAACAGAAGGGATTTCATCAATAGGGGAAATCATTGCCTTAGCTTTTCCTCATAATTGTTTACAACCGTATTAGTTTAGTTTACAGCTAGTTAGTTACTTGCAAGCTAGTTGTTAAAGAACACTCAACTGAGATTTGAATATTTGGGAAGCTGGTTCTGAAGAATTAGTGGGTCTGAAGATAGTGGTTGATAGGTTAACTCTCTGTGGATTCGACCATGGGCGTAATACTCGGGTTATATTTGCAACGTCCGCAGAGTCCTTTTTACAAGGCATAGTTGGGCGTGATCATCCGCCTGACCTGATTTCCTTAGAAGATTACCCTCAGCGGGGACTTCAATAATCACTTGCCTAATGGCACCACTTCCACTTGAGGAGCCAACATCTACATGGTGAGAAATCAGAGGGGGAGTTGTCGAAGGAGGAACGATAAAAGTAGTAAAGACAGCAGCTTGGGGAGGAGCAGAAACAGCCGAGATTGGCAAAGAAGGAATCACAGACACGGGAGTAGAAAAAGAAGCCAGGGGAGCTTCATCAGAAATCGGGCCTAAGCTTTCATTACCAAACCCGCTAATAAAAAGCTGCTCAACTGAATCATAAGCAGCGGCGGGAGCAGCGTCATCATCAGATATGGGAATCACCACCGGGGCCTCAGCAGGCTTGGAAAAGGAATAGAATGGCGGGGGGATACTTCAGCTTCATCATCAGAACTGATGCGTCTTCGAGCTCGAGGCCTTCTCACCAAAGAGCCCCCGTTTTCTTCTTCTTCAGAATCTTCTTCTTCAACAACTTTTCTCTTTGATGAAGAACCCAAGACTATTTCTTGAGCCCTCTCTAAAGAGATATGGGTTCCTGAAGAGATGCGGGAAGCCACAACCGCCTCGGTAGTAACTCCCCGAATAGCAAATCCTGATAAAAAGAAGGATTGAAATTAGTGTTAATAAAAAACATTACATAAAAAATGAAATAATACAAAAACTCTTACCATGAGTTTTTACTTTCCAGCCAAATCGGTTAGAAAGTGTCTTCCAAGACCTACCATCCATTGGTGCAGTTTTAGTAACTTGTCTACCCAATCACGAAAATTGGGAACACTTTTCAAAACTCCCGTGGCTGCTAAAAAAAAGGGGGGGGGGGGTTAGAAAAGTTGACAAACTTGAAGAAAAAAGGCACGAGAAAGTTAAAAAACTTACGTGCAAAATTCCACTTCTCAGGGAAGGGAACATTATCTTCACCCACTAAACCAACAGTGGGGGCAGCAACAAACCTGGCATACCAGCCATGGTCTTTGTCATCCTCAGGGCTCACCAAAACTCTCTTACTCCTGGCTACTAGTGTGAAAACACCATTGCGGAACAACCTAGGGGAATAAAGGTGAATCAAATGAGGGAAAGTAAAGGGAACACCAGATGTGTTGGTCAAATGCCTCAAACAGGCAACAACCCTCCATACGATTGGGCCAATTTGACCCAAACAGACATCAAAGAAACGACAAAACTCAAGATGACCGGGTTAATAGCTGGTTTAAACCCTAAGGTGAAAGGGTATGTATAAACAAAAGAAAACCCGGTTAAATAAGAGGTAATTCTTTGATTTGGATTAGGGATGATAAATAGGAAAATCACTACTCCAACGGCAGTCACTACGAACTACAGGAATCAAAACTTCTGTAATTTGAGTGGGATAGATATCAGCACGATCTAAACCAGAGACTTGATTCCTAAGAGATTCTCTGTCATGATAAAAAGATAGTTCCGTAGGAACTATCTCCTCTACTGTAGGCTCACGAAGAGGTTCAGAAGGTTCTTTACCTCTTGAAGAAGATCTTTGTGAAAGTGAACCCCTAGTTTTAGAAGAAGGGCCAGAACTAGATGAAGGGACAGAAGAACCACCTCGAACAGACCCTAAATTACGAAGTCTACCTCCCCTTCTGCTCCTGACGGGGGCATTAGGAAAGGTATCAACTATGGGAACTCTCATAGGGTTAGGGTTTGATGAAGACATAGTAAAGAAGGATGATACGAAGAAGAAGCAAACAAAGATTTGGGAAATTGAATATTCGATAAACTTTATGTGGTAAAGACAAAGAAGGAAGTTATATTTATAAGCAACCGTCAAGGGAAAAAGTGCAATGATGGAAGGACCATAATAATGATAACTGACGCTTCGTAAGCAGGGAAGTCGTAAATAAAGCCTAAAAAGTGTTGCAAAACTGCAAACCTAATAAGAAGGTGACACGTGTGAAACGCATTAAATGGAAGTGACAATTGAAGCATCGATTCTGTCACAGCATTAATGGTGACAAAAATTCTCGTTTTAATGAAATTCACTTCCCAAATATTCAATTGATGAATAAATGGCAAGTGTGTGTGTGGGGGAGGGGGGGGGGGGGGGGGGGACTATCTGTATTGGGAAAAATTGAATTTACATATTAAAGAGGTATGAAGATGATGTGTCGTGACATATAGACTGGTTAAAGAATTACAACTGGCAAGAAGGCACGAGTTGCAATAGATACGAGCAAAAAGCAAAAGAAGAGGCACGAGCGAAGGCAACGCTCATACCTGTTCAAATCATTTAAGCCCAAGAATCAAAGAGAATGAATCTGACATCACACAAGAGTCCAGATACAGTATTTAGTACGCATTAAATATCGAAATAGAGAATATGTATTAAATATAATGATTATGTAATATAGCATTTAATGTCTTTAATGTCTTTAACTGCCCATAATAGCCTTGTTATGACGGAGGCAAAACACATATCTCCAAGGTACCTATAAAAAGGGAGATAACCACACGAAACACTATGTGAATATACTTTGATTTAGTTATTTCTCTCTTGATTACATTCTTGCTATCCAAATTGATTTCTTTTATACATTCTTTCGATTATCAGTGACCCATACTTGCTTAAATTCCAGAAAGAGGAAAATAAGATTCACTGTTTGTCTGCTCATCCTCTTCCTCACTCTGTTTTGCGCAGTTCGTTCTTCTTTTTACGGCTGCGGGGTGATTCATTTTTCTTCTTCCTGTTGTTCTCCGTGTTGGCGCTGCTGAAACGTAAAATTATGAGTTTTGTTGAGAGGTGAGATTTTCTTTTGGTCGAATTTTATGTTCGTTGTTGTGTGCTACTCTGCTAACAAGTTCGACTTGGTTCATTTAATTAGCTTTCTGTTTCATCTTGATATATCTTATGGCTCTAATTGGCTTATTAGCTGACACATAGCCAACTATATATATGAATTAAGTTGTTAGTTAAAGCTGACATAGGATTCATGGCAATTCGATACTATAAATGAATTCAAGATGAGGTGCATTTTTTGGGGTTTAATATTTAAAAAGTGATAACCAATTGCTTGACATATTTTATCGGAATTGCTGGAGATGGATGCTGACTTAAAGGGGTGGCAGGAAAGGAATTGGGAGTTGGTGAGGTTGGAAATATTTGAGACTGTGGCTGCTGAAATGTTGAAAAGGTTGAGTTTTCTTTGTGTAGGCCACGACAAATTTATTTTATTTAATTTCGGTTAACGTTGGGATATATGTTACCTGGAAGAAAATTATTATCACATGACAGATTGGTCAGATCATTACAAAGAAACAAATTTAACTTTTAGAATACAAAAGTTATCGTAGCTAACAATGACCCTGAAAAAGAAGAATAGTTTGCAAGGAGATGCTTGTACGTGCCCCTATGATTACTTTGTATCTGTCGATTACAAACAAGCTGAATATTGTTGTTGCTGCATTTTCTCTTGTTTCCATTGTTTTCCCACATTGGAGAGCTTCAATTAAGCTGTCGATAACACCAACAGACATAATCAGGATCTTGGGATTCTCGTGTATCGAAAGGTTGAGCAATGTTGTGACTGCTTTCTTCCGGATTCTTGTATCACGGGAACCAAGCAGAGTCATCAGAAATGGAATAGCTCCAGACTCAGCTATGATTCTGCGATTGTCCATTCCATTTTTCATGAGCAATCTTAGCTTATATGCTTCTGTATATCTGGAGATCCTGTTTGCAGTTTGCCAACTAAAAACTTTGTTGTCATTTTCACAACATATGTGGCAGCTTTAGTAGCAGAAATGTAGTCAATCGCCTTGTCACATTTCTTAATCTTACTATTGCTGCTACCTTCTGAATATGAAGGAGATAATGTAGGTTCTATTGTTGGGATGTTGTTCTCTTGACCCCACTGATGGATTAGACTTTTTAGTGCGTAGTTGGGAATGAGAGCCATATGTATCAGCCACTGACCACTTTTTGGACAAGTGTGGTGCCCTGATGAGCAATTAAATTTCGATCATAAGTATGGCCTGATGCTACTATCACATGGTCCCTCATCAAGTCAAGTGAAGTTGGACAACAGGATTCGTTAGGGATGTCGATTGTCGGCAACCACTTAATAACACAAGGAGGATTGACCAGCACGAGCACTCATTAGTTCTGGCTGCTTCAAAGTTTGCTTAATCATAAGGTGTTCTTCTTCCAAAATTGTTCCTTTAAAGTTTGTCTCTAGATTGTGTGAACCAGCTTGAAAGTGCCATTTTTTTTAACAAATGAATAAGACATGCATATAAGAATTATATTTTTTGTCTTTTAATGATTGAATATCATATTGTGTTCACTTATATGATGTGCTTGTATATGTTTACCTTCATTTTGGCTTAGAGAATTCTAAACTTTGGTTCTTAAAGTGCAAATGGAAAATATTAGAAGCAAGATAGAAAGTATTAGAAGATGAAATGTAGCTTTTTTTGAACACAAGCTGTTTAACTATGCAACAACTTATATTAGGAGACATTGCTTGTTAACTTCTCTTATTGTGCAAAAGATGTTTGGCTTGAGAACTTACTACAGAAACACATGTTCACAACTTTATCTGACAAAAATGTATCCATCTTAAATTGGCAATTACAATTTGACGAAATGATAATCTTACACCTCCACCGGCCCCTTCCTTGGAAGGCTACTTGGCATGTTAGTTCTACGAAGATTCCATGGTATGCTCCTCTATGAATAAACAATTTGTTCTCTTGGACTAACTTTTCCCCTCTTAGAACTGGATTTCATCATTTGAAATGAATTGTCTTTGTGTTTCCCTTCAGCCATCCTCAACTTGTAGGTACTCTACTCAAGCTCCCAAAGGACGAGGGGTGAATGACTACCTTAAACAATTCATGTTTGCTCATGGAAACTTAACCAGAAGTCCTTTAAATTGAGCAAGTGTTAATGGTACTCTTTTCTCTTGAGAAAAAAACTGCATATCAACTTGCCTGACCAAAAGTCCTTTGAGATTGTATGTTTTCTCTCTTTATGTTTTGCTTATAGTTATAAGGTGGGTTTTGATTTCTTCTTTTCCTGATTTTCGGAATTTCAGCTGGGTAAAAATTGTTCAAATTGGGTAAATTGTTGGCTGGGACAGTTTGTGAAATTATAGACAATTTCATCTTGATTGGCCTTGCTACATCATATTTATAAATTTCTTACCATAAAAAGCTTATGGGTTTTAGTTTCCAAATTAACCAGACAAGTTTAGCTAATTATCTCATTGTTCTTCCTCCGAGTCATCACTGAAACATTAAATCCATATAAGGAGCTCTGCTTGAAATTTATTTATAATTTGGATACTTTATTGATACAGTTGTTGAAGTTCAACATCTTCTGCAGACTCTGATAAGCTGCTGTTGCTCATCTGCTGGATTTTATATTTCTCTTTTCAGTTGGTAAGAAGTTTTGTTAGGTCAATCATTACTTTTTAGCTTTTTCACCTTTTAATAGCTCTGTTTGATTCAGTAGTTCACATTGATTCTTTGGTGGTACGTTACATGCTTAAAATGGTTTTAAAATTATTATGAAATATCACATTACCTTATCTTGATGAAGCACAAGGTACTCTCCCTCTTATTTTACTTATAATTTGACCTTCATGCGTCTCTCTTCTATCGGTAGTTTTACTATTTTAATGGTTTCGCCAAACAGTGTTGTCAAACTTGCTATTGTTATTGTTTTGGCGCTGAAACTCCTTCAGGTAATGAGTTCGGCAGTGCAGTAGCAAAACGAAGTAGGAAACTGAATAGAGAAGTCATTCTTGGATAAATCTATAAAATTGGACTACGTCTAAAAAAGAATTTAAAAAAGTGTAATCTAAGTCCTTGATATACAACTGTACATAAGTCCTTGATGTACAACAGTATGTACTTAGTTCCCATATCAATTGCACGTAAAAAGAGTAGAAAATATTGTATTAGAGAATTCTAGGATACTCATTGAAAATCTGCCGATGCAGGAAATCTTTTCTCCAAAAGGAGAATGTATCTGTATCAGTATGGTTTTGTCCGTTTCAACCTTTGTTGAACATTTGCTTACATGAAACTCATCGTGCTTTATTAGGATCTTGTTATTCGTCCCTTGGGCGAGCAAGACTCTCAAAGCTAGGAGCAATTACTTAATGAAATTCCTGTTTGGTTAAATATCCAGATTATGACAGTATATGTATTCAGTTACATGTTTAACATGTTTTTAAAGTTGCTTAGTTATTTATATATAATTTTTTTTATATGTTGCTGAAGGTGGAATGATGTAGGAAATTTTTGCTTTCTATTTTGTTGCTTTGGTATCTTTACTCGACCACTAATTGATTGCATTATTGGACAGACATATGATTTCCACTAACTGATAGTATTTGCAAATGCGATTCCTTGTCATCTGAATAGTATTCACTTTCAACTTCTTTGTCGCTTATCCGTCAAATCAGTATAAGGTTATTGAATAATACTTCCAATACAACAGTTAAGAGGTTCAACACCAGAGGATCAAATAACTTGTCAAATTTTAGGTTGCCTCATATTTGATAGTCTTATTAACTTTGCCAAATTTTAGATTGTGTTAGATTTGATAATGTCATAAGTAATTTCGGATGAAAAGAGGGATTGTGATGCCTCCTACTATGGCAGTTAGCAGGATTCTATAAGCACTTTCGATTGTCTTCTTTGACGTTATTTGGCTTTTAAATTTGCACTTGGCATTATACATACAACCAGGAATTCCCTCATATTTCAAATTCAGAGATTTTTAACTTTTTAGTCAACGTTGAACATCAATGTGAATTTGCGAAATGGATGAATATAGAAGAATGAATATGTTTGTAAACTGCTACAATTATGAGTACAGAAATGGCTTAAGACCTATTTTGTACCATAGCTACCTCATTACCTAGATTCTGTTTCAGCCTCTCCCCCAGCTGATTCCCTGTCTTGCTTCGTTTTTTCCCGTTGGATTGGGAATTTGATTTTCGAGAAAATAAAAATGGATCTTGAAGAAAACTGCTTTTATCATGCCTATATTTAACAAGCCTTGGAAGTTGGTTAGCCTTTTGCTGTCGAGCACACAGAGAAAAAATGTTGGGAGCAAAACTTGGTACAAGTAAAAGGCTTTTGATGTCTTTCTGGCTGAAAGGAATAAGAAATTGCATTCGGCTTTTGAGTTTTGAGAGTGCTTCGTATATAAGTGGAAAACACGTGGTCACGTGCTAACTGGCCAGGCCTATAAAAGGGCAAGGAAACCAGTAGCCAATAAAATTGGTACACGTATATAGTACAATTTAAACAACTAAAGGGTTGAATGGAAAAAGTTTAGGTGGGGCCCGCTTATATGCAATTCAAAATCCCATGTTTTGTACTTAGGCTTAGCTGCAGCTGAAAAGACAATTCAAAAATACGTCATTTTGTTTCCTTCCCTTCTCTGCTTATAGCCTTCCTGACTCACTAACTGGTCATAGTTTTCAAATTTTTCTGCTTTGGTTCGAGATTGTCTTGTGTGGTTGGATTCCTGAGTTGCGGTAAGTTTTTTCCTTATTTTTAATTTGCACTCTCCATATTCCCTGCTTGCCCTACTAGAGTGTTTTTTCTTGTGTGCTTGAAATATATGCATTTATATACCTCTTTGACTCTTCTTTGTTTACTTGACTTTCTTCAATTCAATCAGATAATTTTTTTTTTTAATTAATTTTTCATGTTTCATGTTTTTGTTACTTTTTTTGGATTTCCTATTTTTACAATGCATGTCTTTTTCCAGTTTGATTTTTTGGAAGCATTTCTGGGTGATCGTGATTGGCTCTTTTCTAGGTTAACCATTTATTTTATGTTACTTTTGCTACGTTTTTTGTTGTGAGTTCTGCAATTCAATTTCTATTCAAGGTTTGGACCAACTATTTTGCCATAATTTTAACTTAATTCTAAGTAGTTCTTGTTATTGCCCGTAATTAACATATTGAGATTCAAAATGCTTCTGTTTCCTGAATTATATTATTATTTTAATTAGTTGAGTTAAGATTGAGGTGCAATTAATGGATTAATGTTCTCTGTTTTTTGTGTGTGTGTTGACTTGGTTGATTGATGGTTGCAGGTAAAGGGTTATTTTTGGCTTAGACGTGAGATCAGATTAGATGAAACATTAAATTTGACTCCTGGCTGAAGAACTCACAAGAATGTGAGATTTATGCTTGTAAGAGGTAATCCTTCTTTTACACGATCACTGTCTATCTCTAATTTATTTTAATTTGAGACAATCGTTGCTATTGATAGGACTCATTAGACCCTCTTTGTTTCGAAAGTTTGAAGCTTAGACAATTTGTGACAGTTGTCGTCCTTTAAGACAATCCCTCGAACAGTGGTGATTGAAGCTCGGGAGCAATGAATCTTGAACTCTATTGAACACATGCCTATCTGCTTCAGACTATGTACATGTATATGTGAAACATATAAAATAAGTTTTTCGTATTGGATGTTTAAAATGCTAGCCTTTTGTTTTGATTAGCTTTATGGTTTCTGTTAATCTTGAATGAAATTGGTCTTCATATTTTGAGTTGAGATTTTGTATATCTCTAACTTTACCTAGAGTTTATAATAGGCCAGCGTTAATTGTTCTTTTGGAAACACACTGTCAAACACACCAAAGTGTGAAAGAAGATTTTAATTTTGATGGTATGATTGAGGTGGCTGCAACACGCCATTCAGGAGGAATTGCCATATTGTGGTTGGCCAATGTACTAGCTGTTGATCCAGTAGCCACCACTGCACAAGAAATTCACTGGGTAAAACCTTTACCTTTTAAATTTTTATTTACTGCTACCTATGCTAGTAATGAATTAGTTAATAGATAATTGTTATGGGATAATCTCACGCCTGTACATGATAATTATCATGGACCTTGGTTAATTGGAGGAGACTTTAATGAAATTACACATGCAACTGATAAATTTGGTGGACTTCCTATAAACAATTCACGTTCTAATAAATTTTTGGACTGCATTAATTATTGTCACATGACTGATTTAGGTTTTAAGGGTAGTCGATACTTGGACTAATGGAAGACATAAGAAGTATACTATACTTGAACGTATTGATCATATAGTTGCTAACTATGAATGGATTAATCAATACTCTAACGCTCTTGTTACACACCTTCCCCGCACACACTCATATCATTGTCCCATTAAGTTAGAACTTCAACACTGTCCATTACCTAGGAAAAAATTATTTAGGTTTGAGACTATTTGGACTAGTCATCCTGCTTTTCATGCTGTGGTTGAACAAGCTTGGATGGATAATGTGATATTACTTCCTGCAATTGATAATTTCACAACATCAGTGCAAGAATGGAATAAATCTACCTTTGGTAACATTTTTAAGCAAAAAAGGAATATTCTTGCAAGATCAATGGAATTTAGGCTTCTATCCATTATCCAACTAGTAATTTCTTACAAAATTTGGAACAAGAACTAAAGTTGGATTTTAATCGAATACTTAGGTTAGAGGAAGATTTTTGGAAACTAAAATCACGTATTGACTGGCTTAATAATGGTGATGCTAATACCAAAATTTTCCACCTCACTACTATTAATCGTAGAAGGCATAATAGAATTACGGCTATTCAAGATCAGGGGGGAAAATGGATAACAAAACCTACAAAAATTCTTGATCATATTTCCCTTTATTATCAAAACTTATTTACCACGCAGAAAACAAGCTCAATTATAAAATCAAAACTACTTCCCTCAAACATATTAACACATGCTGACCAAAAATCCCTAACAAAACCTCTACAAGAATTTGAAATTCTTAATGCTGTAAAGTCTTTCAAGCCTATGAAAGCACCTGGGCCAGATGGACTTCATTCCCTTTTTTACCAAAATTATTGGGACACTATTGGAGAATCTGTGAAACATTTCTGTCATAAGGTGTTCACTGACTATGAAATTGACCCCAAAATAAATTCTACCTTTATCTGTCTTATTCCTAAAAATAATAATGCATCCACATTTGCTCAATATAGACCTATTAGTCTTTGCAATACTATTTACAAAATTATTACAAAAATTTTGGTAAATAGATTAAAGCCAATATTGGAACACATCATCCATCCCACACAATCTAGTTTTCAACAAAACAAAAGAGCTGCAGATAATGCTATCATAGTACAAGAAATTATTAATAAATTTAAAAAAATGAAGGGGAACAATCTCAGTATGCTTCTTAAGATTGATCTAGAAAAAGCTTTTGATAAATTAGAATGGTCCTTCATTCGTAATACTTTAGTAAGTTTAAATTTTCCAGCTAAGTTTACTAAGTTAATTATGTCTTGTATTACCACCACTACTACCTCTATATTAATCAATGGTAGTCCAATTGATTCATTTCAGCCCACAAGGGGTATAAGACAGGGTGATCCTTTGTCACCCTATCTGTTTATCCTATGTCTTGAAATGTTGTCCAGAAAGATCAATAATGTTGTTGACTATCGGGCTTGGAAACCCATATCTTTATCAAAAAATGGGCCTCAATTATCTCATTTATTCTTCGCAGATGATATTACCCTCACCTCACAAATTACAGCTAGTACGTGTCAATCAATGGTTAGTACTATTACACAGTTTACTAATCAGTCTGGCCAATCTATCAACTTCGATAAATCAAAAAGCTACTTCTCAAAGAATTGTCAACCCAATACTAAAAATATAATTCTGCAACTATTTCATATGAAAGAGGGTCGTAGTTTTGGAAAGTACTTGGGTTTCCCTATTTTTACAACCAAGCCTGCAAAATCTGACTATCAATTCTTACTTGATAATTTTAAAACAAAATTGGCAGGCTGGAAAACTAATTTTCTTTCTCGAGCGGGAAGACTAACTTTAATAAAATCCACCCTTAACCATCTTCCCAATCACTTGATGCAATATATAAAAATACCTAGTTATATACTAAGCTACCTTAACAGGTACCAAAGGAATTTCCTATGGGGCACAACTGCTCAAAAGAAAAAATTACATCTCCTTAAGTGGTCTACAATCACGCAACCTTTGGAACTTGGGGTTTAGGTATACAAAATCTTGATACAAAAAATAAGTCACTTCATGCAAGCCTTGCATGGAATGTTCAATGATCCACATTAGTTATGGGCAAAAGCCCTTTTACATAATTATGTACGGCCAAAGCCTCTACTAAGTTACAATAGCTCTACTACTTGGCGTAATATTATTAATGGCTGAAAATATTGCAGATTAGGTTATAAATGGAATATTGCAACTGGACAACATGTTAAGTTCTGGACTTACCCCTGACTCAAGCATAATTTCATACTTAGAGGCTACATTAATGGACCCATGCCTCAATTTGAGGAAAACAAACTAGTTTCTAATTACTACTATAATAATAGTTGGCACCTAGATAACATACCTTTTGAATTACCCTTACATATAAATTCCCTTATTGATAATATTTATATGCTCATTGAACCCACAAACTATGACAAAATTTACTGGAATTTAACACAGAATAGTATCTTCTCAGTTATTTCTATGTACAGGTGTTTAATCACCATTAATACAACTAATGGTACATGCTTAAGCAACTCTTTCAAGTGGATTTGGAAACTTCCAATTCCCCCTAAATTATCTTTTTTCCTTTGGCTAATGTGTCATGACAAACTCCCAACAGCTGTGTATCTTACACGATTGGGTATTACTAATTCAGCAAGCTGTCCACTATGTCACCAAGACACTGAAACAATTAGTCATTTATTTCAACATTGTGCTAACACCATACTTCTTTGGAAATCTCTTAGAATATCACCTCCCACTAGCACAATAGCAGTTCCTCAAAATGAGATTATGACTTGGTTGTATAAATTTATACATACGCCTTTGCTTTCTACACCTCACAACATCCCTTCTACAATTATGATTCCTTTTGCATTGTGAGAAATTTGGCTTAAAAGGAATAAGTTTGTTTATGAACATAAAATAAACGACTTGAATCTGCCTTCTCTGTTAGTAAAGGTAGCTGAATATTACTTTTTAACTAATCATTCTATTAAGAAGAGTTCAAAGTCTCTTATCTATATCAAATGGCATCCACCAGATCGTATGTTTTACAAATTAAATATTGATGGATCTTGCTGCCCGGCTCTAAGCACTTATGGAATTGGTGGAGTTATCCGCAATCATCAAAGCAATTGGGTAATAGGCTTTGCAGGGTCTGTCAAAGAAGGCACCACTATACAAATAGAACTTCTTGCACTCTTCAAAGGATTACAAATTACTATCCAACAAAGGCTTATACCAATCATCATTGAGACGGATGCACAAGCAATAATTGGTATGTTAAAAACACTGGCAATGAGCTTTATTAATATTATTAATGATTGCAGGTCCTTGCTCCAACAACTGGATAGTCCATCGGTACAAGTTATATACAGAGAGCAGAATTGTATTGCAGATAGATTAGCTAAATATGGTGCAACGCATGTACATGAGCAATGCCTACTTTTTGGAACACCCCCACTTTTTGCTATGTCTTGTTATGAACAAGATCACCAGGGCACACTCCACAGCAGGGTGACTCGGCAGCCTAGTAGGAATGTTGCACAGTCTCTCTCTGGCTCATATAGTTTATCTAGTATGTGTAATAGAAGAACTTCTTTAGTAGCTAGTACTTCAAGTACTAGTCCTGTTTCCCAAGTAGTGGGAGACCAAGAGCCTAGCTCTATCTTTGTACAACGGATGCCTTGTATGCATCCAAGACTCTAAACTAATGTAAATGTTTGCTATGTTATAATATTGCCTATCTTTCCAACCAAAAAAAAAATATTACTTTGCTATTGAAATGTAAAATGAGTGGAGATGCAAGTTTCTCTGCACGAGTTTCACAAGTGCGATTACTATCTTGGAATATTAATAAATGTGAAAGTAGTTCAGAAAAGATAAATATATTAAACAATTTCTAAGGGACAATCATCCGCACATATCTATATCACAAGAGGTTAGCAGTCCACACCAATAGTCAAATAACATTCGTTCTTATCAGAGAGCATAGTAATAATATGGGATACCAATTATGTCAAATGTAAAAGTAAAAGACATTTGGTGCAGAATACCCCATGGATTATTATAGGGGATTTTAGTGAACACAAAAAGAATTTGCATGCATTTACGGATTTGCTGAGACAATCTTATATTTATGAATTTATTTAAAGACAATAACAATTCAGATAGGCATTCGAAGTTAGACGGGCTTTCAATTTCATCACCAATCCACTATTGTAACCGTCCTATCAGATTATTTGCCCATAATTATGAATTGGAATATCCTGAAACTTAGTGAATATGTAAGTTTTCTGTACCTTTTTTGTTTAACTAGTTTTATTATAGATTGACAATATTGTTAGTTCAGTGCCTATAACTTGCCAGGTAGGAAACTCGTTTTTTTGTCTTCAAGTTGTTACACTCATCACCAAAGTTCTGCTTATGTTTGCTGTCAAAAGAATTGTTTATGGCATTGGCTGACAAAAATAATAAAAAAGTATTGCATAAAATAATATTACAACTAATAATATGAACAAGGCGAAATACATAAACGGTCTCTTTAAGTTGTCCTCAACGATCATTCAAACACTTTAACTGAGCCTATTTCCAGTTAGACACTTCAAGTCTTTAATGAAGTAGGTCAACTAAACACCAAAGACCAACAAACCTCATGCATGAGTTACAATTGTGGATGACGTGTCAAATAGACAAATCATCAAATGACACGTGTATTTGTCCAAAAAAAATATGTATTAATTTTTCCTACCCAAAGAACATCTACCCACCCCAATTATTAGGTCACCGTCGCCTGCCAAACCCCCTCCACTTTTTTTTCTTTTTTCTTTTCTTTCTCGAAACCAAATCAGAAATCACCCTAACCCACTTAATTGATTGATATTCACCAGTGAAGGACCAATTGCCAAATTCAATTGTGGTGAAATTAAAATTTTGGGGTAAAGGGAGATAAAGGATGTGATAGTGGTTCTTTGGTGGTATAATGCTGGAGATGATACGGAGGACATCAAAGGTCTTTTGATGTGTGTTCTGTAAGTGATTTGGTGTTTGGTCTAATGGAAAATGGTGAGAGGAATGTGTTACGATTGATTGTTGTATGTGTTAGAGATGTATAATTGAATTGAGGCTTGGACATGGCAGTGAAATTAACTGTTAGATTTGATATTTTGGATTTGTTTAGTGGTGGTCGGTGGTTGTGATGGTGAGGGAAATTCTGTTCAGGATGTGTTTTTTTCTTTATGAGTTTCTATGGAACAAAGAAAAGTAAAAAATATGCTTTATCTATGTAATTCCGAAAATGGTAAAGCTCAATGAATATCTAGTGGTGGCGCTACCTGGTGGTTTTATGATATGGAAGGGGAAGGTGGAAAGAAAGATTCAAATGGTGGAAGAAAAATGGAGAAGAAGGAGGCGGGGTCCACATTGAGTTTTGGAAGGAAAACAAAGGATAAACCTAATTTTAAAGAGTTTCACGCGCTCCAATCCGAGTGTAATACATAAAATTTACCATGTCAGCGTAAGGGGTTTAAGAGACATATTTCTACTTAGCAGAAGTGTCTAACTAGAAATGGGCTCAGTTGAAGTGTTTGAATGATCGTTGAGACAACTTAAAGGGACCGTTTATGTATTTTGCCTATAAATTAATCCAAGAATTAGAATATACTTTCTTTATCCACGTAAATCAAAGGTTCTCTAAAAGGAGGGTCGGAATCATCAAACCAATTAGAATATGATCCCTAGTTCACTAGGATAAAAAGTTATGTCTCATGCTGAAAATGAATTTAGCATGTTTTATTCACCACAATAATCATTCTCTCTCTTCTCGACCTTTTTCTCAATTATAAACGAACGAAAGAGATCTTAGCAACCATTTCCATTTTAATTAAACACAAAGCCTTGCCAATCAAACTGAGACCAAGACTGACATGCAAACTTATGATCAAAAAGGAGAGAATATATCTATCAGTACATTTAATGTTCTCACAAACACAAGTTAGCAGTAGTAACTGGCCACTGTAAATTATGGAAATAAGGAAAGTTCTCATTATCCCTCTCTTTGCTATCTACTGCTACTTTGATCTGTACAGTCTAATCAATGTTGTGAAAACCTGGAAGAAGAGAAGTGATGAACCCAAAGACAATCATTTGTATCTCTTTTGCAATACCCCACCAGCGATTTCCACCATCAGCAGCACCAGGTTCCGCTGCATGCTCATTCTCGCCTACCCTATTTACGTCGTTACCTTGTTGATTCTCATTCTCGCCTCCAGGTTGTCCCTCTGTCAGAACAAATAATAAAGAGTTAAATCTTATGCTTAGAAGTAATCCAATAAAGGGCGCCGTTCCGAGGTGACATTCAAGACTGACATGAAAACAACTTTATTGAAGCATGAATTTTGCAACGAGGGATTAAAATTTTGAAACCAACGCATAAAGAAAGAACCAAGCATTGAAATTGCCATTAGCTATCCATTTATCAGTACTCCAGCCTGCAATGTGTTATCTTTCTTTCGAGAGCGTACGTATAATTAATGTAAATGGTTATGCACCAAGATGGTGCTGGGCATTACAAAAAGCCCACAGTCCCCATGAGCACCACCTAAGATGCATTTATCTGTTCATCGTACATGAATTGAACGGACGTACCTCCAGCTGCAACATTCTCATTTCCTTGCCTTCCGGCAGCTGGTACATTATCTGCCCTGACAGCCGGCCTAGGTGGCTGGGGAGGTGCAGCTGCCCTCTGCATTCCTTGTGAAAGCCATCGTACCAAAGGTGCCAGAGCTCCAGTTTGATATCTACAATCACCAACAGAAAATATATGGCATGACTCGATGACAAATTACATAAATTACATGTATTTCAATGAACATAACATAACAGTAAGCCTTCCCTCTTTCATTGTTCATTCCACTAAAATACATAACATTATATTATTTTATCCTTAAAAGAAACCACTAACAAATACAAAACTGTAGAGGCATTATAGCACTAAAGACACTTAAAAGAGTTGGTTACTTGTGGTACAGACATATCCAATGGGGCCAGTAAACCAGCAAAAATGATCGGGAGAAAAGCTAGAGGGTTCACCTTCAAGACAATGAACAATGCACTCTAGCAATCCACAATCATTAAGAGAGACCAGAAGGATACAAAAAGCACCAAAAGGCTATGCCCAAGAAAGGAAACTAAGGAATATTATAGACTATAAAAGCAAGTGGAGATCTGAATGCTATTTAGGAGAACGATACAAATAGAAAACCAATATAGGGCCAACTAGCTTCTTTTTTTCAAAGAAAAAGGACCAGCTTTATTGTTATCTTTTAGGATATCCACATTCTAATTCATATAGGTTATGTTAACAGTATATATATATGTGTAGTAATTTTATCCAAAAATTGGTTGCTCGATATTCTCTACAGTTTGCAGCACTTGACACATCCAAACAAAACTCAACAGTCACAACAGCTTTCTAAGACCAAATTGTTTATTCATAATAAAATAATAATAAATGAGAAGGATATTAAAAAGGTGATCATAACCGACAAATACTTACAGGTAGACAAGCGAAGCTAAGAACACAAGCAGAACAAGCCTCTGTCTCGATCCATCTTGATTGAACAAAAATATCACCGCAGCTAGCTTCAAAATAAGCAAAATATCTAGCTGAAATGCAATTTGAAATCTTCTGACAACTATTTGACGTTGTGGCCCAGGCTGTTGCTGCAGAGGCTGCTGCTGCTGCTGTCCCATCTGACCTTGCTCCTCACCTACTGTCCCATTATCTGGAGTACTAGGTCCACTGTCAAGAGCAGCCATGCTTTTTTCTTTTAGAAAGGAGTAGGATTTTATACGGAAGTAACCTTCTTAAGAAACTTAAGATCACAATTTCCAATACTTCCCGTTTATGCACTCAACATCAGGGCTTCATGTTTTGTCAGACTAGATATGCAAATGAACGGAACAAAGATATTAATAACATGGCATGTAATTAATTGGATATATAACTATTAGTTGCCACGTGCACAAGAAGTTTGTATTGCTTCATCCCTAGTATTCTAGGCTAATGGCATTTAAGTAGATAATATTTACAACAATGGTAACAAACCACTGTATATTTTCAAGCATTACAAGTAATAATGAAAACCATTATCAGATACACAACTAAAGACACGAACACTGAAGGGTGAATGGAAAAAGAAATTAGCGTAGTAACATATTTTTATTTTTTTGATCAGGTAAAATAAAAAGTAGTATTATTAATAATCAGCACCAAAAAAGGTGCCAAGTATGCATAGGAAAAGGCACTAGAGTTACCTAAATCTGTCCAACACAGTACATTTCCATATTAGGCTCCCTATCAATGTGCGATTGATTCTGGAGTTTAACCTTAATGATGATATAATGCCACATATGTCATCATTAAAAAGATAAAGTTCTTCGATTCAAATAAATAAATCAGATTCACGATTTTTCTCCCTCCCCACCACATGATCCAAAAGTTAACTAGATCCCAAGATTACTAGCCTACAAAAGCTATCTAACATAACTTTCCAGAATTTAAGAGAACTATCTGAGGAGAGCTTAAATGGAACGACATGGTCAGTGAGGATTCATATATGCAAGTTTGGACTTCAATTTCCCAATAAATTCACAAGCCAAAGGGGTGTCAAACATTTCTAACGTAAAGAAAATCTTGGAAGGTGTCAGTATCTTTTCAGTATCTACATTATCCTCATTCCGACTTAAATGGACTGTGACAGGTAAGCTCC